AAACCATCGAGGAGCCTCTGCCCTAAAGGTCTAGGCAGAAGCAAAGGAATTTCCTCATACTCATGGCTAATTTAGTGACTGACCAGTGCTCCTGATATGTGAAAACACACCTCTGGTAATACAATTGATTAACTTAAATCCCAGGATATGAAAGGAGTCCCTACAGCTGATGGCAAATAGTTTTTATAGGACCCCTTACCCCCTCTATGGGCTACATGCTATGGCCACATCATGTTACTCACGCAGACACGTTACTTATTGTATCTGAAGCCAAAATGCAGGACTCTTCATGACATTATGATGTGATCAACTCAATTCTCCAAGAGTACATTACTGGCTCTTCACAAAAGCGCGTAACCGAGCATTTACTTCTTTTAGGACCGCAGGCTATAGCCCTATTAGAAGCCAAAATGGCTGACTTAGACACATCTTGCTACCTTCTAAGTGGGTCTTTGGCTGTTCAAAACACAGATTCAACTGCCGGTGTTTAGGGCCCATTTCTTTGTTCTGACCATGAGGCTAGCTGGCAGTTTATAAGTGGAGGCCTTTTCATTTCTTTCAAAATGGTCACCTACCCAGGTCCTTGGTTCAGTGTAATAGTGCTCATGACCCACCACTCTTGTATCCAACTCCTGGGTCTGCCTCCCAATATCACCTGTAGTTGATACCCTGGATGTCAATATTTTATTTTGAGTGCAAACACCCTCTGGTCCATCTCAACACAAGGGTGCCGTTGTCCTGCCTACTGCACTCACATTCTCATTGTGGTTGGAGTCACTGGCACTGACCAGGGCACACACGATGTCATTCAACAAACTCACATCATTAATGCCAATCGAGAAATGTCTAAACACTCAAAACTCATGCAGCAGACAGCTAATGTTTTAGATGTTTTCTCTGAAGGAAAATCCCCTGGCAGCTATGGTCGTTGCTGCTTTGTGGGTAAACACTGATAAGGTGCCACCAATAACTCCACAGTGAGACAACTAATTAGAAATGAACCACAAATGAAATAAATTTAACAACAACATAAACAATGACATTACTAAAATAATTGAACAGAACTCCAGATCCCTACGGACATATTTTCCTGGGGTGGCCAGATTCAATTTTATTTGGGGTTTCTCCATCTTCATTGCAAGTTGGTTGTGATGTTCACATGGCCTTTAAAATTCATATTCAAACAATTGAATATTCCAATTCGATTTCATTTAAATAAGACAGGATCATTCCCTCAACAAACATTAGGAGTTAATTTAAATGAAGACACTGACTCCATTTTGATGTTTGACTGTTAATGAGTTTTAGGTACCTGCTCACATTGATGGGCCCCCTATGGGAAACTAAGGGTGGTGACTCATGCCCCAGATATAGGCAAAAACCCCAAACATGTCTCGATTACAGGGTAAAAGCAAGGGGTTTTAATGGAAAAAAGAGAAGTTACTTAAGTTGTTTATAAAAATTTCTTGTTGGTGCAGACAAACTTAAGCTAAGTTTGGTTATTGATTCTATCTCTAGGTAAAAGTCTATAATCATCAGTCCTTATGATCAGGATGTTCGTTTATAGCTAACTTGTCAAAACAGTGAATGTTGGCCCAGTCTAAAAGTTCAAAGAACAAGATGCGTAAGGTAGTTTCTCTGAAAGGGCTATTCTAGCTTTATTTAAAAATGGTTCCACTCATGTCAACTTTCTCATTTCTCGCTTTCGATCAAGATCTTTCTTTGAAAGCATCATTGATAACCACTGGGGTGGGATCTTTTCTTGTTGGTCACATTGTGATCGCTCATTGCCAGGAAGGCTCATCTCTGATATATCATGTCCTATGTAGAGGGAAAGTGGTGTTCTTGGGAGCCTTAAAGTCACATTTGAGTCACAAGAACTCCCAAAGGGGAGAATGTTTGTCATCAAGTCCTACAAAATAAAGGTTAGTGGAGTTCAGCACCGTGAAGTTCTTTTTCTATGTTATCTTTTATTGTCCATCCGAGGTCTCATAATTTTTAGAAATCAATTCTAAATGTCAGGCTGCCATTATTTGCATGGATTGTCATAGCACTGTGGAAACAAAGTAGAAGCATAGTTTAATAATAACAATTATTCCTAAATTTCAAAGCAGGTCACCAATTCTGAAGTATACACTAGATCTAAACCATAAGGTTATACTTGAGGGTGGCCAACTACACAGGTCAAGAGACCAAGAGCATCTAGAGGCCCCTGTTGCAATCAGTGGGCCTGTTCTCGGATTTTGTGTAATTGTGTTCCAGTTAATCCTGAAACATTTATCCAAGGACAACAGGTGGTACTAGTGATGGCACAGACATCACCTTTCTGTGCTCTGTTAATTTATTGTCAAGAGCAATTCTGTATTCTAAAACAACCTGAGCAAGTGAATTTAAAGATTTTCCTTGAGCAGCTATTGCTTCGGCAGTAGATTCAGCAATCCTTCCTAAAGTTCTAGACAAATTTCTGAACATATATTTATTTGCACCTACACCCTCCCTATTTATTATATGGAAATAAAATGCCCCCAAATCTCATTCCTTCATTGTTGGAAACACCACCAGGCAATTCTTGTTGTAATCTGTGATGTAAATTTAACAATGATATCCAATGCTGAGTGTCTGACTGAATGTGTAAAGAATTAGGTGTAACCGATTATCTGACTGTGCAGTGCCTTCCAAGTTGATAAGGATTTAAGTAATGTGTTCCCCACAGACTTTTCCACCAAGAGTAAGAAAAAATAAATCCTAGTGGGACACAGATCATGGAGTTATGACAAGATTGATTGACCCAAGGATCTGAAGGATGTGGGCAGTTAAGAAGGTCGTCTGCGGGTAGAGTAAAATTATGTTGGTATAAGAAGTACACGTTGCAGAGGAACAACTGTTGAAACCTGAGATGCTTGGCAGGCTTCCTGTTCCTTATTACCCATGTTACCTCCTAGATCTCTGGAGGTTTGATGGATTGGGCAAGGAATTGTAGAAGGGGTCCTAGGGGAGTCTCACTAATACGAAGGTTCAACAGTGCAGTTAGTACATGGGAGAAATGGTGGAGAAATTGGTAATTCAGTGTTCTAATCTAAAGGATCTGTGCGTTCCTGTACAGAGAGAGGTTTCTGATGGCAAATCCAACAGTTTGTCAAAATTCCTCTGTATGTAAGGGATTGGGATATGCTGACTAGGCAGCTATCCTTCAGGAGAAACTAAGAGAAAAAGGAAACAGTAACTATTGTAGCAGGTGTTTGACCTCCCATATTAATACCTTTTATATTCCTCAATTTGCGTGACAAAAAGGGATTGATCAAAATATACGCAGAAAGCAAACAAGTCCAATAACTAACACTGTGGTTGCAAAGTATTCTGCAAAGGAAGGATTCTTGGGATACATTCCAAAACTACTAATTAATAAGGTGAACAGATTTCAGTAGGGCAATTAGTAAAAGGGAGGCAATAAGGAGTGGTAATATTCCAAAAATGTCCTGAAAAATAGGCATCAAAATTTCAATAGCAACACACAGTGCGAGTTTTGCAATTCAGGCTCTTAGGCATCTAAGTGTTTCCAGGTTAAATAATACATCCTTCACCTCACAGTGTTATCGTGTGTGTGTGTGTGTGTGTGTGTGTGTGTGTGTGTGTGTGTGGTGAGACTGCTTAAGGCCCACTCTCTAAGCAAATTTCAATTATACGATGAAGTATATGTATATCAAATTATCATACTGCACATGGTAATCTTTAAATACAATTTTATTAGTCAATTATATGTCAGCAAAGCTGGGAGAAGTTTCCAGGTGCATCTCAAATTTACACAATGGTTCATCATTTTTCTTATATTATTAAAAATAAGAATTCAAGTACCTTATGTATATCATAGAAATTGACATTTCAAAGTTCTCTAAGGAGTGATGCAAAAAGCGATCTAAATTAAATTTCCTTCCATTGTAAAATGTACACCTGAGAACGTAATGAACACATCTCATCCCTTGAGAAGAGTCCCTGAGCCCAGGCCGGGGCTGCCAGGTTCCAACTTCCCACCAGAACCAAGTGCTCTGGGCTTCTTTCTCCTAAGGACCAAATGAGTGGGGGTGGGGCAGGGTTGGGTGGAAGGCTCAAGGCTGGGAAGCATCAAAGTTTGAAATAGAGCCAGACTCATCACTACAGAGGGTGAGGTCACACTAAGTGTCACAGTTCCAAGAGTGGACTTGCAGCCTTATGCCAAGGCCTTGATCCCTAGGGGACGTGAGACCTTCTCGTTCTGTTAACCAAGCACAAATGAGTAAGGAAGCTTTGGCTAGAAATAAACGATAAAGATTTATTCAGGGATCTTACAGTTTGCAAACTAGAAACACAGCTAAGCAAAATCCCAGAAGCTTTTAGAAGAAGAAATAAAAGAGTTCTTAAAGTCACAACCTGGAGAAAAATCGATCCTGCATTCCCAGCGCTAGGATTGGGCCCAGATGGTTATCAGTCAGCTGTCAGGCGCTCTAGGTGATGGATGCCAGGTGGGCGGGAGGATGGGCGCCAGGCGGTCTGCTGACGTCTGGAGTTCTTTAGGGGTTGGTCTGAGGGTTATCTGCCAGTAAGTGAATGTCCGGGCATTGACACAGGACTGGAAAGTTCAAAAGTTTAAATTCCCAGGCTAGTTAAGACAGGAAAAGAAATCCTTTCCTCATGCCTTAACCTTCTTAATGTTAATAATTTAGCAATGGCTCCAATTTGTATTTTCCCTATCTTCACTCTTTTCCTGTTCCAATCAGTCCTGGCCTGACCACCCTCTTGTCTCTCTACTTGCTGCATCTGGAAACTGAATCAGGAATTCCATGTGCCCCCGATGCTCCGGCCTCGACAAAGCTGGGGAAAACAACACACGGAGCCTCAGGCCAAGAAAAACTTCTGTTTAAATTCAAATGTGCCTGGCTGGGTGGCGTTCCCGCCCACCAACCCTGGCTGATTCTGCTGAGCAACACGTTCTCCCTCCGGGTGTCATTCACGCAGGAGCCCTGCAGTTTGTCCAATCAGGGCCCTCTGGGGCATGTGGGTAGGGCGACGCACTGCTAAGGCGGGGACATCCCTACCTTATCTGGTCTCTCTGGGAATGCCAGTTCCCTGTCCCTAATGGTCCCTGGAGGCTCTGTCGCAGTCTCTGTTGTCCTGTGATCTGCACTGGTCGTGAGAGTGAAGGCAGGATTCAGGGAGACCCAGGAGACCTAGAAATGGTAAGTGTCCTAGGCGAGTGTGGAGACGGGACGAGGCGTGGTCGAACTCGCTGTGGCGGGACCCGGCCTCCCAGCTGTCAACTCTGGAAACTGCGGACCTCAGTCCCCTCTTGCAGGAACCGTAGGGGCTGGGCCAGCTGCCGGGATCCGCGGCTTCAGTTCTCCCAGATTGTGCGGTGACCACAGAGAGGGTCGTGGGAGACTTTCGTGACTCGGTGTCTGGCGTTCGTGTGTGGGAGTAGCTGAGGTCTGTGATGTCTCCAGCCCCTTTTATCTCCCCAGGGGTCCTGTTTTCTCCTGAGTTTTCTAAATATTTTGGCAGCAGGCTCTCAAATCCACGACTCTGTCCCTTCAGCCTAGCTCTTCCTGAGACTGGTAGCAAGTCCCTAAATTGACAAATTCTCTTCGAATTCCCAAGGTAACTTCCCCTCTGCTATTCACAGCATCATTGTCATCTATCTGTCCTTCTAGATTCATTCCAAAGAGACCCAATATTTTACTTTTTTATGCTTTTCCTACAGCGTCATGGATGGCTCTTTTGTAGCGACTTATATCCGTTGTAGATATTTTACATGAGAGGAAAGCAGAGAATACCTTGTAAGAAATCTGTGTCCCTGTCCCCCCAGAGCAGACATCCTGTGGGAAGTCCTTTGGGTGGAGGTTCCTCTTGGGAAACATTCCATGGTGTTGCGTCTTGTCAGCACTGTCCCTCCTTTGGTGTCACCTTGATTTATTTATGTATTTAAGACTCTTTTTTTTTTAAACAGGGGTAAAATATGTTTAACTGCCAGAGTTTGAAAGACAGTATAAAATCGTTCCAAACACCCCAGAAGGAGGTGAATTTCAGGACAAAGAAAATATTCCAGTAGTACATTTCATTTACGCAGAATTCTTTCACTCTTTTTCCCCTCTGAGCATACGTAATAAGTTTCTGAGGTCCGCTCTTGACTTTTGGGTATCTTCAAATAAAATTCCAGGTCTTGGACTTGCAGAGCAGAAGCGTTCCACTATGATTAATTATCTACAAACTAAGTTCTTTCTCTAGAGATAATAATTAACCGACATCCTGTTTTCCAAAAGGAATGGGTCTTTGGGATTATTTTTAGTTGAATTAGTAAAACAACCTTATGATTTTCTTTCTTTCTACATAAATGCTGGCTTTTAAGTGATTTTGCTGAGTTGTTTAAAACTGGATTTGTGTCATCTAAAAAATCAGTAGTGTTCCAAAGCAACTCTAGTGGGAGCAGAGGCCTGAGGTCAGTGACCCGCGCTAAAGCCCCCTTGACCTACAAAGGGAAGCTCTTAGAGGCCCACTGGTTCTCCCTGGGGAGGCTCTCCCTGCAGGTGTCCTTCCTGCTCACATGCACCGTGGAGGAGCCTTTACATTGAGAGAAGCTGCAGCCCTGGACAGCTGGGGCGCACGTGCACGTGGAGGGAGAGAGGGTGTGACACCCTTTCTGAGGTTGTGATTTCTTAAGTCTAGACATTTGTAGACATTTTGTTTGAGTTTTCCATCCACAGTGTAGGTGTGCTCAGTGAGAAATTTGTGCACAGTGAGAAAGTCTGTGATAATCTGGGATTCCGTTTTGTGGACAAAAGGTGTGTGAGTTGGGGAGTTCGTTTGGGTCAGAACTCAAGCTGAATCAGGCTGAGTTTCCTCACTGAAAATGGAAGCCTGGTGGAGGGAGTGCTTCCACGCTCACAGGAGACGAGGTGTTGGGCTCCCAGAGTTCATTTCTGGGGCTGCTCAGGCATCTCACCCTCCTTCCCTGAGGACTGACCCACTACAGGGGTTCTGTCTCAGCCAGGGAGGGGTGTCTAGGTCCTAAGTCTGGAAATATGTTCAACTTTCTGAGTGTGGGTGTCCTTCTGAATTGTAGGGAATTTTTTCTGTTTTCATTCCAGTATTTGTAGAGATTTTTTCCATTGCATTCCTTTCTCCCTTGAATATTGCAGCCCTTTAATTCTAGTTTCCATTAACTTGGGCTTTTAATATGTAAGTTGATTGAGAGGTAAGATATGACTAAGGCGAGATAATTGTGGAACCAAATCGCATTTTGGTTTCATATAGCCACTAGAGACTCAGGATGGGAGATGGGTATATTTAAGTTTTGAGGTGCATTTTTCATTTTTAGGTCAGCTTTTGTATGTCCCTGTCTCTAGAGAACTTTGACATTTGAAAGAGGGTGCTATTCCTAAGAAAAATAATTACCTATTTTTAATGCATATGAGGAAAAAGCAATTGATTTTTCTATTTCCACTGACATGAGGTAAAAGCCTCAAAGCTGAGGCAAATCTTTCAGCTTTTTAGTTCATTTTAGGGATGAGTCGCAAACCCCTAATGCATTATAATATGCTACTCATTTCTGAAACTCATCTCAAATCCACAGTGGGAAATATAGTGGAAGGACAGGCTGTTCTGCCTCTTGCCCTTTTAGTTGGGAAAGGATTTACAAATGTTTGATGATCTGCAGTTTCATATCCTTAGTGTTTAAAGGATTAAAACTTGCAGTGGTTTTCTATGTAGAAAAATTAAAATTAAATTAATTTTAAAGAGCAAAAGTTAATTAAAATTATGATTAAGCATAGGAAAATATGATGTATAAGTTTCTCTCTTTATTTTAAATAAATAACACATTGGAATGTAAAAAAAAAATTTCTAAAACCTGAAAGATATGCCCTGCAGACATATCCTGCCCCAGTCCGTGCTCTGACTCCATCCTCCCTCCAATAACTAGGTGTGAAATAAATAACACATTGGAATGTAGGCAACCCTTGGTTGACCTCACAGATTGCAAGGACCTGGTCAGCTTACAATCTCTTATTTTTTATTTTTTACGCCTACAGCATCTGGTCTTCCTAGGTGGTCTCCCATCCAAGTACTAACCAGGCCCAACCCTGCTTAGCTTCTGAGATCAGACGGGATCAGGTTTGTTCAGGGTGGCATGGACGTAGATGTGATTACTTCTTGATCATCCTGTTAGAGTTTCTTTGTATAAAAACAAGCCAGTACGAATGCTTGTTTTTCTTACTCATGTTTGTTCTTGTCATGAGTGACAGGCTCCACACTTTTGATGTTTGTTTACTGAAAACGAAGCCTCCCTTTCCTTTTCCCCTAATGCTTCGTATCTGTCAGGCTGATGAGGACCTGGAGGCCCCCACACTGAGCTGCTGCTTGCTGAGGAGTCCTCCTGTGGACTGTGCTGCCCCGTGGTGTGTCGTGGACTCACTGAGCCTGAGGTCTCTATACCGCGGACTCTGAGTTGACAGTTTCATAATTCCTTGTCCTTAGGGAGCAGGAGTATGGGAGTGGGGTCCTGCTTAGAATGTTGTTTTGCCCTCAAGCTGTGTTTTGAGTGAAGCTGTGGGCGAGGTTGGGTTCACCTAGATGTTAGAGGAGTAGATGTTTTGCCCTCAAGCTGTGTTTTGAGTGAAGCTGTGGGCGAGGTTGGGTTCATCTAGATGTTAGAGGAGTCTAAGGGGGATTTGATGATTGTACCAGTGAATGAGGTGAGCGATCACATGGTCACTCCTTAAAGAGCAGGTATTTCAGACAGAGAGAGAGAGGAGACAGGTTAGGCAGCCCATAGCTGGTGGACTGGGCCCTCTCTCCTGATAGCAGAGGGCTCCTCACGTTCCTTATGTGTCTCTGCTGCTGCTGCCCCTGCCTCTGGGGCAGTGCAGATCCTGGCCCTGAGGCTACTGGGGACAACACACAGCCTCACTGTGGCACAGCAAAGGGACAAGTACAAACATGATTTAAGCCCTGGGTCCTTAAATCCTACACAGAGACCATTTCCATGGGGGAGGCCTCCAACCCTGATGACACTGATTTGAGGCCTTCTGGGTAAAAAAAAAAACAAAAGATAGATACCAGGGTAGAGAGGACACCCAGTCTCCCAAAGTTTATCCAGTGACCTAAAATATAAATCAGGGAAGGAAACAAGAGAAGAAAGCAAAGGGAAAATGTTTGAAAAGAAGCCCACAATTCGACCCAGTTGGAAATCCAAAATATACTAAGAGAATTTAAAAACAAAAAAGATAAATGGAGACTCCATGGCTTTTAAGCCTCTCAAACATAAGTTCTGAATTAATGTGACCACCTCCTGTAATGCAGTAATTCACAAATGTTCACACAATTACTCAATGCTAGGTTAAATTACCGTTATACCTGGGCTCTCAGTCAATTTAAGCAAGGTCTCTCGTGATCTCAGGGGAGTTACTGAATATAATAAAGAGGTAAAGTGGTATATTTGGCCTGAAGCATCAGAAATCTTTGCCTTTTCTCACACTTTTCATAGCACCTGTTGTCTTAAAATATTCCATAGTGAGCAGGACAGCTCTAAACCAGGAATTACTGAATCTAATTTAAGTCTCCATTACTTCCTAACTGACTTCACAAAATGGGATTCTATGGTTTGTATCCCTTACTAAAATTAATTGATACGGTCTAGTGTAAATTATATGGGGCCTCTAAAGATTGAAAACTGTTATGAAAAACCCAGGCGCTTCCCCCTGGAACAGCTGAATTTGGCCTGTTCTCACCCTGGAAAGGATGAATGACGCCTCCCAGTGGATTTGCTGGGTGATCTCTCCCGTCAGCACTGTCTGTCCCTGGGTGGGTCAATTTGCAAACATTTTCTCACTTATTTGAGCCTAAAGTTTTCAAATATTTAAAATTTATGTAAATAAAAGAGCTTGACATTCAGAATAAAATATTTCAAAAAGAAAGAAGTAGGTGAATTTTAGAAAAAAGAAAAAAGTGTTATTTCGCATGTGTTAAAAATTCTTATTTCATTTTTTTTCTGCCCTGAGCCTGTGTAGTAATATTCTGCGGTCTGTTCTTTTTTGCGTGGGGGTAGGGTGCTTCTAAATGGGAGTGTTAGGGCTCAGACTTGAACATCGGAAGTGTTTGAGTATGATTGTTTGAAAAACAATTTCTTGCCATGAAAATAATAATTAAATAATATTATTTTCTGAAAGTAATAAATACAGTGGTT